ATGAAATACAAACTACACCTAAAGCAAACAGAAGGAAGGAAATAATACAAGCAAGAGCAGAAATTAACACAGAATAGAAAAACAACAATCATGAAACCAAAAGGTGGTTCTCGGAAAAGATCAACAAAATTGGCAAACCTTTAGCTAGATTGAACAAAAAGAAAGAGGAAATACCCAAAATTACTAGAATCTAAAAAGAAAAGGAAAATCAACCTTATGAAAAATAAAAAGAATCATAACAAAATACTACTATATGCCAATAAATTAGATAACAGATAAAATGGACAAATTCCTAGAAAGACACAAACTCATACACAACTGACTCAAGAAGGAACAATCTTAATAGCCCTATAGCAAGTGAAGAGACTGAATTAGCAATCAAAAAAACTACCCACAAAGAAAAGTCAAGGAGGCTTCACAGCTGAAGTCTTGTGAACATTTAAAAAATAATTAAGGCTGGGCACGGTGGCTCACACCTGTAATCCTAGCACTTTGGGAGGCTGAGGCGGGCGATAATTTGAGGTCAGGAATTCAAGACCAGCCTGACCAACATATTGAAACCCCATCTCTACTAAAAATACAAAAAAAAGTAGCCAGATGTTGTGGCATGTGCCTGTTGTCTCAGCTACTCAGTAGCCTGAAGCAGGAGAATTGCCTGAACCCAGAAGGCGGAGGTTGCAGTGAGCCAAAATCTCACCACTGCACTCCAGCCTGGGTCACAGAGCGAGACTCTATCTCGAAAAATAAAAATAAAAAAATAAAAAATAATTGGCCAGGCACAGTGACTCACGCCTGTAATCCCAGCACTTTGAGAAGCTAAGGTGGACAGATCACTTGAGGTCAAGAAAGACCGGCCTGGCCAACACAGTGAAAACATGTCTCTACTAAAAATACAAAATTTAGCTGGGTGTGGTGGGGCGTTCCTATAGTCCCAGCTACTCGGGAGGCTGAGACAGGAGAATTGCCTGAACCGGGGTGGCAGAGGTTTCAGTGAGCCGAGATCGCGCCACTGCACTCCAGCCTGGGTGACAAAGCCAGACTCCATCTCAAAAAATAAAAATAAACAAATAAATAAATAACCTAATCAAAATAAGCAAAGGAAGATATACAAACGACCAATATGAAAGGATGCTCAACATCAATGACCATCAAGGAAATGTAAATCAAAACCACAATGAAATAACACATTCACTAGGATTGCTAAAATCAAGAAGATACATAGCCCAAGGCACAAGAGAACAAAAAAATAAAAAGACACATAATAACAAGTGATGTTGAATATGTGGAGAAACCATTATCCTTACACACTGCTGGTAGGAATTTAAAATAGTGTAGCCACTTTGGAAAACAGTCTGGCAGTCCCGCAAATATTTAAACACAGAGTCAGAGCTGGGTGTAGCGGCTCATGCCTGTAATCCCAGCACTTTGGCAGGCTGAGGCAGGAGTTCCAGACCAGCTTAACCACATGGTGAAACTGCATCTCTACTAAAAAAATACAAAAATTAGCCAGGCATGGAGGTGTATGCCTGCAATCCCTCCTACTTGGAAGGCTGAGGTACGAGAACTGCTTAAACCCAGGAGGCAGAGGCTTCGATGAGCCACGACTGTGCCACTGCACTCCAGCCTGAGTGACAGAGACCCTGTCTCAAAAAAAAAAAAAAAAAAAAAAAGAGTTATCACATGACCCAGCAATTCTAGTCCTAGTTATGTACCCCTAAAAAATGAAAATATACATCCACACAAAACCCAGTACAAGACTGTTCATAGCAGCATTACTCATAATAACTCATAAAAGGCAGAAACAAGCCAGGCACAGTGGCTCACACCTATAATCCCAGCACTTTGGGAGGCCAAAGTGGGTGGATCACTTGAGGTCAGGAGTTCGAGACCAGCCTGACCAACATGGTGAAACCCTGTCTCTACTAGAAAGTACAAAAAATTAGCCAGGCATGGTGGCAGGTGCCTGTAATCCCAGCTACTCGTAGGGAGGCTGAGGTAGGAGAATGACTTGAACCTGGGAGGCGGAGGCTGCAGTGAGCCAGGATCATGCCACTGCACTCCAGCCTGGGCAAGAGTCAGACTTGTCTCAAAAAAAAGGCAAAAACAACCTAAATGTCCAATAGCTACAAATGGATAAATAAAATGTATAATATATCCATATAATGGATTACTTGACCATAAAAAGGAATGAAGTACTGACACATACTATAATATAAATGAACCTTAAAAACATTATAAGTAAGAGACCACAGATGAGTCCATTCATATAAAGTAGGAAAATCTATGGACAGAAAGTAGATTAGTGGTGGCAGGTGGGATGGAGGATAAGGGGTGATAGCTAAAAGGTATGTGGTTTCTTTTTATTTACTTATCTTTCACTTATTCTGATTAGGAACCTCAAGTTTCCTTTTGAGGTGGTGTAAATGTACTAAAATTGACTATGGCAACGGTTGTGCTATATTTATCCACACATAATTAATCTGTGAATAATTAAAATCACTACATTGTAAAATATAAATGGTTGAATTATATACCATGTAAACTGTATCTCAATAAAGGTTTAAAAAGGGTCTTTAGTAAAGTAATAGATACATTCTTTTTATAACTGTGTTTATTCTGCTTCTATGTAAATATAGGCCACCTTTTGAGACAATGACTTTTAAAAACATAAGCAAATACACACAAATATATATAGATAAACATGAATTAACCCTTCAAAGTAATTAAAAAGAAGACATTTATTCCAACAATTCTTCCATTGCATGAAATACCTCTTTAATATTCTACCGGCATTTGGAACTACCTTCAGAGTATACTGTACAATCCTTTGAATTTTTTTGTGTAGAAAATCTGCTTTTTTTTTTTTTTTGAGATGGAGTTTCACTCTTGTTGACCAGGCTGGAGTACAATGGTACAATCTTGGCTCACTGCAACCTCTGCTTCCCGGGTTGAAGCGATTCTCCTGCCTCAGCCTTCGGAGTAGCTGGGATTACAGGTGGCTGCCATCACGCCTGCCTAATTTTTTACATTTTTAGTAGAAACAGGGTTTCACCATGTTGGTCAGGCTGTTCTTGAACTGCTGACCTCAGGTGACCCACCCACCTTGGCCTCCCAAAGTGCTGCGATTACAGGCGTGAGCCACTGCTCCTGGCCTGCTGATCATTTTTTATTTTGTATTTATTTTTTATTTTTGAGACCGAGTTTCGCTCTTGTTGCCCAGGCTGGAGTGCAATGGCGCGATCTTGGCTCACTGCAACCTCCACCTCCCGGGTTCAAGTGATTCTCCTGCCTCAGCCTCCCGAGTAGCTGGGATTACAGGCATGTGCCACCAGGCCTGGCTAATTTTTTGTATTTTTAATAGAGATGGGGTTTCTCCATATTGGTCAGGCTGGTCTTGAACTCCCGACCTCAGGTGATCTGCCCGACTCGGCCGCCCAAAGCGCTAGGATTATAGGCATGAGCCACCGCGCCAGGCATGATTTTCTAACAGCCAAATATTTAAAGCCAAATCTGATGAAAATGAGTAACATTTTTAAAGTTAAATATAAATAATTCTCTATGCTGTTACTATGCTTAATTTTCTTTATAGCACTTTTCTTAGCGTGGTAATGATAGTACGTATTTATTTATTGCCTGTCTTCTCACTAGTATATGAGAGCAGAAATTTATATCACTCACTGCTATATCACCGGCGCCTAAAATAGTACCTGTTAGAAAGTCAGTAAATATGTGATTACCTGGACTCTCAAAATAATTACTCGAAGGGTATTTCTTTATAAACAAAAATTTCTTTATAAATATATAGCTAGTCTCATAATTTTATAGTCACATCTGGCATAATTTAGAAATTCTCCAAGTCAGTTGATAAGGCACACAAAGTTCAGAAAGGTATATTCCTATCTTCCAATCAAAACTTGAGGCAAAATTTTGTTTTGTTTTGTTTTGTTTTTGTTGCCCAGGCTGGAGTGCAGTGGCGTGACCTCGGTTCACTGCAAGCTCCGCCTTCCAGGTTCATGCCATTCTCCTGTTAAGGCAATATTTTTTTTTTTTTTTTTTTTGAGGCGGAGTCTTCACTCTGTCACCCAGGCTGAAGTGCAGTGGCTCGATCTCGGCTCACTGCAAGCTCCGCCTCCCGGGTTAGCGCCATTCTCCTGCCTCAGCCTCCCGAGTAGCTGGGACTACAGGCACCCGCCACTGCGCCCGGCTAATTTTTTGTATTTTAGTAGAGACGGGGTTTCACCGTGTTAGCCAGGATGGTCTCGATCTCCTGACCTCGTGATCCGCCCGCCTCGGCCTCCCAAAGTGCAGGGATTACAGGCGTGAGCCACCGCGCCCAGCCAAGGCAATATTTTAAAAAGCTGACAACTCCCTAAGTTTTGGGTGGAAACTATCATGGTAGTACAGTCCTTAAATCAAAGGAACTGGGATTCAAGCACTCAATTTAGTAAGATAAATATTTTTTTGAGACAGAGTCTTGCTCTGTCCCCCAGGCTGGAGTACAATGATGTGATATTGGTTCACTGCAACCTCCACCTCCCAGATTCAAGTAATTCTCCTGCCTCTGCCTCCCAAGTAGCTGGGATTACAGATGTCCGCCAATACGTCCAGCTACTTTTTTGTATTTTTAGTAGAGATGGCATTTTGCCATGGTGGCCAGGCTGTTCTCAAACTCCTGACCTCAGGTGATCTACCAGCCTCGACCTCCCAAAGTGCTGGGATTACAGGTGTCAGCCACTATGCCCGGCTGATCAATCTTAAATCTACCCATATTAACAAAGTACTCTGACACTGAAAAACAAGCTGTTTCAGGCTACTGAAATGCTGGAAATATTTCCATCCATATCATGTAAAAATATTATTTTCTATCAAAACCACCATACATAATTTTATAAGAATATAGTTGATTTAAACCTCAAAAGGTCCCTTCCACTCAATGTTTAGGGAAAAAAAATAAATCAAACAAAGCCCACTAAGGAAAGAATCATCAATATCAAACCTACCGGATCAACAGAAGGCAAAACATCTTTCTTCTCCAGGCCATCAACTTCATCTTCATCTGTGCTGTATTCTTCCATCGTTTCGCCACTAACAAAGTGGATGACTCTCCTTGGGACTTTCTTCTTTTTTCCTATGACTCCCAGTTCTACATTTTCAAAGCCTCTTTCGTTACTCATCTATATCAACAATATTTTAAGAAAATGAGAGTTTCAAGTGAGATTAATTTTCTTTCATTACATGTGAAAAACTTTTGGTAAGTTTATTGTAGTAAAGAAACAAACAAATCTTTAAGCAGTTTTGGTTTGTTTTGAGACAGGGTCTCACTCTGTTGCCCAGGCTGGAGTACAGTGGCGAGACTATGGCAGACCAAATAAAATCCATTTGTAAACCAAATCTGGAAAGCAGATTATCAGTGTTCTATCTCTGAACTTCCAGATGTCTTGGCCAGTAATACATATGTAACAAAAGAGATTTCTGATAGTAAAAAGATTTCACAAGTTCTTAAAACTATAGTAGTCTGTGGAATTTTTTTTTTCCCCCAGACAGGGTCTGGCAGTTGCCTAGGCTAGAGTGCAGTGGTGCAATCATGGCTCACTGCAATCTCAAATTCCTGGCCTCAGGTGATCCTTCCACATTCACCTCCTGAGTACCTGGGACTATAGGAGTGTACCACCACACCTGGCTACTTTTTTTTCCTATAGAGACAGTGTCTGGCTATGTTGCCCAGGTTGGTCTTCAACTACTGGCCTTAAGCAATCCTCCCACCTCAGCCTCCTGAAGTTTTAGGATTACAGGCATGAGTAACTGTGCCTGAGCTGGAATTCTAATACAAATTTTACTCCTATATATTTATACTATCTATATGTGTGTGTGTATATATGTGTATATATGTATATGTATGTGTGTGTGTATATATATAGTGGGAAATGGTGAAGAGCTTCTTTTCATTGTCCTCTTGCCTCAAGTTTAAACTCCTAAGAAAACTGCCTGAAGTTTAAACTTCCAGATTTCAAAAAGGTACACTACACACAATTGTGAAGAAAACTCTGGCAACAGTGGTTACCCCATGGATAGAAACTAAGAATGGGGAGAAGAAGCAGGCAAGGGAGTAGTCAAAGGAGGGCTTTTATTCTTTTTGCATATACAGGACTACAGTACTGTCATGATTAGAGTCTATGTTCGTAGAATTCTCTAGGATAGTCCAGAGTACAAACATTTTGTTCTCTATAAAGATTCTTATGGTTATAAGCAAACATACTTTAAACCCAGGACTGCTGTTCAACCACTGGAAAAGCTCTTTGAATTGCTGTTGCAAAGAAAGGATTATACTGATAAAAATAGTGAACTCGTACTGCCCAGTTATGCAAGTATAAGCTACTTTATTTTTATACATTGTTTTCTCTTAAGAACTTAAGAGAAATTTTTATACATTGTTTTCTCTTAAGAAAGAAAAAACAATTTTTATACATTGTTTTCTCTTAAGAAAGTCCTTTCTAGGAAGGACTTCTAAGGTCCTTCTTAGAAAACAGGTATGATTCTTCTCTGCCTTTTACCTCCCAAAGCTAAGTTTAGTAGCCAGGATCTGAACTGCAGATCATGAAAATTTGGTAACAGGCCAGGCGTGGTAGCTCACACCTGTAATCCCAGCACTTTGGGAGGCTGAGGCAGGAGGATCACACGAGGTCAGGAGTTCCAGACCAGGCTGGCCAACATGGCAAAACCCCACCTTTACTAAAAATACAAAAATCAGCTAGGCATGGTGGTACACATCTGTAATTCCAGCTACTTGGGAGGCTGAGGCGTGAGAATCACTTGAACCCAGGAGGTGGAGGCTACAATGAGCCGAGATCACACCACTGCACTCCAGCCTGGGCAACAGAGTCAGACTGTCTCAAAAAAATAAAAATAAGGCTGGATGCTGTGACTCAGGCCTATAATGGCAGCAATTGGAGGGCTAAGGCAGGTGGATAACCTGATGTCAGGAGTTGGAGACCAGCCCGGCCAACATGGTGAAACCCTGTCTCCACTAAAAAAGCAAAAATTAGCTGGGCATGGTGGCATGCACCTGTAGTCCCAGCTACTCGGGAAGCTGAGGAAAGAGAATCACTTGAACCCAGGAGGTGGAGGTCATAGTGAGCTGAGATTGTGCCACTGTACTCCAGTCTGGGTGACAGAGCAAGACTCCATCTCAAAAAATAAAAATAATAAACTATCTGGAAAAATAAAATTTGGTAACATAGCCTATCTATGTATTAACATGGAAAAAAGTCACAATTCTCTCTAGCCTGTCCTGAGGGTTCAAACAAATCCCAGCCCTTAACAAGGGAAGATCAGGCCATTTATTGCCTATCTATGTATTAACATGGAAAAAAGTCACAATTCTCTCTAGCCTGTCCTGAGGGTTCAAACAAATCCCAGCCCTTAACAAGGGAAGATCAGGCCATTTATTGTGTCCATGAAAAAAATAAACAAGTAGTTCACCCAGGACACCTTTCTTCTACCCACTCCCAACCCCCACCAGTTCCCAGGCACTGATAGCCATCCCTACCCAGTCTCATGTTTCCCCTTGAGATAAAATTTGGCTATGGTTGTCCTGACATCAACGTTTCCTTTTGGACCATGACTCTGCTTTTTGGATCCCTTAATTTCCTATGCAAAGGAAAGATAGATGAGCTAAGTTACATCTCCAGTCATCCTACTAACTGGATGGATCTAATGTCAATGCAACAGCTCCAGTCAGTGAATAGAGAGCTCAGATCCTTCACCATATAACACCATGCCCCACCCTATCCCATCCCCAGGACAGAAGAGGCTTCTCACTGTTCCCTCTAGCAATCTCTCATTGGCTTAATTTTTTCCTTCTATGACACAGGCAAAGGAAAGGATGTCAGTGCTCAAAAAGCTTCAGATTTTAGAGTATTTCAGATTAGGGATAACGATTCCAACCTCTACGTGGGAGGTGGGGGTGGAGAGCAATGAAGGAAGCACTAACAGGTAAAACGAACCAGAAAATCATTTGGTACAAAATTCCCAATAATTATATTTTTAAAATATTTTTCTTTTTTTTTATTTTTCAAACATCAACTTGAACCAGAAATCCAATAATTACAAATAATAGTTACATTGTGGCTGGGCATGGTGGCTCACGCCTGTAATCCCAGCACATTGGGAGACCGAGGCGAGCAGACAACTTGAGGTCAGGAGTGAGACCACCCTGGCTAACATGGTGAAACCCCATGTCTACTAAAAAAAATACAAAAATTAGCCGGGCGTGGTGGAGCATGCCTATAATCCCAGCTACACAGGAGGCTGAGGCAGGAGAATCACTTGAACCTGGGAGGCAGAGGTTGCAGTGAGCCAAGATCGCGCCACACACTTCACCCTGAGCAAGAGTGAAATTCTGTCTCAAAAAACAAAAAAAGTTACACTGTGAATTTTCCAAATGCTTCATTTTATAAATCTGCAAGTAAGAAAATTTTCACTGCCAATTATGCAAATTCCATAACGAACTCCAAAGATCTGAAAGATAGTTTCATAACACCAGGAAATTATGAGGTACCATGTCAATTAACATTTTACTCCATTTTATAGTTAACCAAACTATAAATGTGCTTATCTTTATTCTCAGGATCTGTTTTTTTCTTTTTTGAAAAGGGGTCTTGCTCTGTCATCCAGGCTGGAGTGCAGTGGCATGATCTTGGCTCAGTGCAACCTCTACCTCCTGGGTTTCAGCGATTCTCCTGCCTCAGCCTCCCAAGTAGCTGGGTCTACAGGTGTGAGCCACAATGCCCAGCTAATTTTTGTATATTAGAGATGGGGGTTTCATCATGTTAGCCAGGCTAGTCTCCAACTCCTGACCTCAAGTGATCCACTCACCTCAGCCTTCCAAAGTGCTGGGATTATAGGCGTGAGCCACCCCACTCAGCCCAGGATCTGGTTTTAATGGCAATTTTTTTTATATACTCCCACGGCACCCAGACTTCTTTAAAACACATACTAGACTTGGAATTTATTCTTTGTCATCTTCCCCAAGTAGCTATTAGCAACATGGGGGGTAGGTACTGCTATATCTTTCAGCCTAGAGTTCCTGGCACATTAACAGGAACTTGGTAACAGAGGTGCTTGGTAACAGAGGTGCCAAATAAATCAATCACTGAGTGGTACTGAAATTTTAACTCTTTTAAAAACACTGAGGCTGAGATTCTGGTTAAAAGTCTATTCAGAGAAGCTGCTGGATAGAATGTCACAACAGAAGGCCAGGTGCGGTGGCTCATGTCTGTAATCCCAGCACTTTGGGAGGCCGAGGCGGCAGGTGAATCCGAGGTCAGGAGTTCAAGACCAGCCTGACCAAGATGGTGAAACCCCCACCTCCACTAAAAATACAAAAATTAGCCGGACGTGGTGGCATGCGCCTGTAATCCCAGCTACTCAGGAGGCTGAGGCAGGAGAATTGCATGAATCCGGGAGGCGGAGGTCTCAGTGAGTCGAGATCACACCACTGCACTCCAGCCTGGGCCACAGAGTGAGACTCCGTCTTAAAAACAAAAAAACAAAAACAAAAAAAGAATGTCACAACAGGTACTGGATGGCTTGTTTGGAGGCCTAATTCTAGATCCTGTCTCCTATCTCTTACTCCCTTTCCCTACATTGCACTAGGGATTTCTCAGTTCTGCCAAACTTGGGAAGACAGCGGCCTCTCCCTCCCCTGAGATGTCCACTTCACTGGCTTCTTCCCTCTTACTGTGCTCAACCCCCTGGGCATAGAACTGGAGTTCCCAAAGATGATTCTGATTCAGGAATGTGAATCCAAAAGCACAAAGGGCAAATGAGAAAATGGAACTCATTGGTGTTTAACGAGAAATAAGAGATATGTAATATTTAATAATATATATAAGAAATATATAATATTGAATGATAAAATTCCAGAGAGACTACACCAAAACTTAATAGTTACCTTTGGGGAATGACAACATGAAGAAAGGGTGGTGGTGGGGTATTCTTGTGCATTTTTATCTTTTGTTCTACGGCCTTCTTTACTGTTTAAGTAGTTATTTGTTAACCAAGAATGTGAAAACAACATAATATCACTAATCCAAATCCAAGAGCCTCTCACTTCAAACAACACTTAGCTGGTATGTAAGTACACGTGTGTTTACTTTGCTATTAGATCCAGGGTGGAGGTAGTGATTTAAAAAAAAACAATTCTAGTAACAACAGGAAAAATCAAACTGAAAAACATACGAAGCGTCGTGGACTCAAAGGTTAAGCGTAAGTGTACTCGCCAACAACAGGTCTCAACTCAACTGAAAATGACGTGGCTTCCTTATCAATTCATGTTTTCCCCTGAATCCCTTCTTAAGTAGGAGGGAAAAAACAAATTCCATGTAGAGTCTGGTACGTGGGAAAGTTGTGTTTTTTGTTTTGGGTTTTTTTTTTTAGTTTTTTATATAAGAGATGGGCTCTTGCTCTGTTGCCCAGGCTGGATAAGCTTTTGTTAATGCAAACGACATCTTATACTAGAAGAGACACATAGAGATATACTCACAGTTTGGGGGAAATGTCTTACTAATATTCAGGTACTTAGTCTCAAAAACGAAGCTACTGAAAAAGCTTCATACTCATGGAGGATGGGAAGAGTTACATACATGAGCAACTCAAGGTTTTGTTTTGTTTTTTTTTTTTTGAGACGGAGTCTTAGCTCTGTTTCCAGGCTGGAGTGCAGTGGCGGGATCTTGCCTCACTGCAACCTCCACCTCCCGGGTTCAAGCGATTCTCCTGCCTCAGCCTCCCGAGCAGCTGGGACTACAGGCAAGCGCCATCACGCCAGGCTAATTTTTGTATTTTTAGTACAGGCAGGGTTTCACCATGTTGGCCAGACTGGTCTCGAACTGACCTCAGGTGATCCACCTGCCTCGGCCTCCCAAAGTGTCTTTTTGTCTAATACTGAAAAGTTGAAGAGTTAACTCTCTAAACCAGCGCTACATGTAGCTAATGTGCACTTGAAATGTGGTCAGCCAGAACTACGTCGTGTAAAATGTACCCAGGATTTAAAGACTTGAAAAAACCTCAAAGAGAATGCAAATACTTCGACTAATTTTTTTTTTTTTTTGAGACGGAGTCTTGCTCTGTCGCCCAGGCTGGAGTGCAGTGGCCGGATCTCCAGCTCACTGCAAGCTCCATACTCCCGAGGTTTCTACGCCATTCTCCTGCCTCAGCCTCAGCCTCCCAAGTAGCTGGGACTACAGGCACCCGCCACCTCGCCCGGCTAGTGTTTTGCTAATTTTTAGTAGAGACGGGGTTTCACCATGTATTTTAGCCAGTATGGTGTCGATCTCCTGACCTGCGTGATCCACCCATCCTGACCTCCCAAAGTGCTGGGATTACAGGCATGGTCTCGATCTCCTGACCTCGTGATCCACCCATCTCGGCCTCCCAAAGTGCTGGGATTACAGGCTTGAGCCACCGCGCCCGGCCCATTAGTAACTTTCATAGGGGCCCAGGCGCGGTAGCTCACGCCTGTAATCCCAGCACTTTGGGAGTCCGAGGCGGGCTCGGACTCAAAGGTTAAGTGAAATCACAATTTTCAACACAGCTTGCATTCTATTTCTGTTGGACAGCGCAGCACGGAGCCTTAGTTGCCTCGGGGGTGAAATGGGGATAACACCCACCTCGAGCGGTTACTGTAAGGATTCAGTGAATTAAGGCCGGTAAACGTTTGGCATATGCCAAGCAAAGAACAGATGCCAAGGCAGGCGCTCGCACTAGAAGAGACTGAGAAGTGGTTGAAGCCGCCCTCACCTGGCTTCCAGCTACTGCAAGGACGGCCTTTGGGGGACACGCCTTCCTTCTTCCTCTGGTAGACCAGAAGCTGGACTATCACCCCCGGAACCCAAGGCCGCCCCAGAGTCTGCTGTGCTGCCAGCCAAGTGGTTGGTGAGTGAGTGGGAGGCCGCTCCTCCCCACAAGCTGGTCTCACTGAGCAGAAACAGGGGTGCAGGGAGGAGGAACTCCAAAACGGGGGCGGCCTGCTCGGAGGACGGCCGGGCAGGCCAAAAGAGCGGCCCGCGGAGAAGGCAAGGAGGCAGCTCTGCTCCCCGGACGCCAGCGTCGGCGGCCCCACCTACCTGCCCCGCAGATTCCCCAAGAGCCGCGGCGGCCGCAACTCCCGAAGGTGCGACGGCTTCTCGTTCCACACGGCCCACTGACTCCTGGTCCATCGTCGTTGCCACCACAGGGCTGCTGGCGCTGGCGAGAAAGAGGGTAATGGCCGATAAGCCCACTTCCATCCTCGGCCTCCCCGCCCAGTCGCTGGCCGAGCCCGGCTGTCGGGAACTGGGACTCACCGCAGCGCCCGCCTCGCGCCGCGCCCAGCCAAGTCTCTGGGAAAGGTACTCGCGGGCCTTGAGGGGTGGGGCCGGCCTGAGGGGCGGGGCCGGCCCGCGCCTCGCTCAGCCTGCCTGGCCTCGCACCCCGAGACCTGGCCGACTGCAGTCTGGGAGGCGCAACTACCGGCTCGCGCGGGGCAGGGCGGGGCGGGGCGGGGCGGGGCTTTGCGAGGCGTCGCTTCCGGCCAAGCACGCATCCCGAGCTGGTGGATCCCCGCCTGGCACCGCCTGTGACGTCATTCCTGGTACGTGTACCTGAAGCCTGGCGTCTGGACCTCGGCGCAGCCCCCCACCAGCTGCGTCCGGGGCAGTCACCCCTGCAGGACCTCGGTTTCTGCATTTGTAAAATGAGGACAGCTGTGTCGTACTTCAAAAGCTAGTGATGGGATGTGGTTGCTGAAAATGTAAAATGTACGGCTTGTGCTGCACTTTCCATTCCTAACGTGGGTGACAGTCCAGCCAAAAAACCCTCGAAAGAAGAGCCCCAGGCGTGATTTTGGCTTATTCTTGTCTGAAATACTTAAGTATAACTGTAGAAAATGTTAAGTGAAAAGACCTGAAGGAGAGCAAAGGGCAGTAGTAAGCTTCCATCTTGACAAATGGAAGGAGTGTTTTATCTGTGTCTTAAAGTCGTGTGCGTATGTTGGGGGGGGGGGCCTCCCAGATTTTTTTCCGTCTTTCTCAATGTTCAACCAAAGTAAAAAATCATGCAATTACTGCATGACTTCAACATCAAACAAGTCTGAGGTTCTGCAGGTACATGGTTTATTGTTGTTTTAGCATGACCATTTTCACAAATACGTGGGGCTCAAAACCAAAACATATATTATTTTGGCTATGGGAGCCTTCATTTGATACTTTAAATTCCATTTTCATACCACTCTTAATTCAGAAATGCTCCCTAGTTATATGACCTCGTAAATGTTTTTCATCACAGCAACAGCAGGCCCAAATATTAAATATTGCTCTCTCTTCTGTGCCAAAGTTCTTCTCCTTATCCTCTGCCTAATGTTCTTGTACACTTCCTATCCTTTGTATAACTAGAACCTAAAAGCAAAAACAAAAATTTTTAAATCATTCATTTGAAAACCATCTACACTTTAAAAACTAGTTGGAAATGCATAATGCTCTGTATCCTGGTAACAAAATCAAGTTAGGTTGCTGCTGAAGTAAACAAGTTAGTACATGATCTGACTGTATGGTGTCATTAGCAGGGAGTTGAGACAATCCAAAACAGCAAAACCAAATTCGGCCATAAATTGAAAACAGAAAGAACCAATTGTTAAGACTTCATGATTTGGCATTCATAAACAACACAATTCTGTATTATATGTATTCAAAATCTCTTCCTTCTTACTGGCAAGCAGGGCAATCAACCATCTTTACTACTAAAAATTTGGGGAATATTTATAAATGCATGATTTTGTTTTCCAAAATGGCAATTAAATATCAAATTAAAATTTTCTTTTTCTTTTTTTTTTGAAACGGAGTCTCGTCCACACTGGAGTGCAATGGCGCAATCTTGGCGCACCGCAACATCCGCTTCCCGGGTTCAAGCAATTCTCCTGCCTCAGCCTCCCGAGTAGCTGGGATTACAGGTGTGCACTACCATGCCTGGCTAATTTTTGTATTGTTAGTAGACCCGGGGTTTCACCATGTTGGCCAGGCTAGTCTCGAACTTCCGACCTCACATGATCCACCCACCTCAGCCTCCCAAAGTGCTGGGATTACAGGCGTGAGCCACCATGCCCAGCCTCAAATTACAATTTTCATTGCCGAAGCAGAATGTATTTTCACAGTTTACAAATGTATTTCTTCAGTTTACAAATGTATTACTGTATTCAAAGTACAACTTATATTCTAACATGAACTGGAAGTATTTCCTAAAAAGTTATTTTTAACACAAATATGCAATTGAAGAGCAGTTTATTACAAATCAACAACTCAAAGCAACATAAAAGCATAGAAATTCTAATAGTTTTATTTTGGGCATTTATATTTTTGTCATTATTTCCAAACTGTTATAGCTCAACTAAAAGTAGGCACCAAGGCAATGTGCCAAGTTTTTCCTTCTTTCACTTTGTAACATAAATTGTATTGTAGCACTATGACAAAAATAAATTCAAGTATTATAATTTATCTACTTGAAAACATAATGTGGTCTAAATTTATCATTTAATGATACATATAGAGCTAAAAAGGTAAATTTGGATTGAACCATTTCTGCTTAAGGCTGGGAAAATAAATCTGAATAAAATTTGATAACCAGGAATGTTCATCAAATAATCAAGACATTCTTAGGGTTTTAACATAGCTACATATATATATTTTGATAGAGAATATTTTGTAAGTTATCCGTCAAACAGGACAATATATTTTCATCAAAAATAATGCACAAGAAAAAAAGGTGATAAAAATAAAAATGCATTTTAGGTTGAGTCTAAGCATAAAGAAAAAGTTTGGTTTTTTTTTTGATACAGGACCTTACTGTATCACCCAGGCTGGAGTGCAGTGGCACAATTACGGCTCACTGCAGACTCAGATGATCCTCCCACCTCAGCCTCCTGAGTAGCTGACGTGCACCGTCACAGCTGGCTAATTTTTGTATTTTTTGTAGAGGTGAGGTTTCGCCATGTTGCCCAGGCTAAAGAAGTTATTAAAATCATGGTAGTGATTTCACTTATGGAGCAAAATATGCCAGGTACTTTGCTTTCCTTGTATTAACTCTTATTCCTCACAACAATTCTGAGACATTACTGTAACTACCAACATGTTACAGATGAGGAAACAAAGTCTCAGAGAGGTTAAGCAACTTGCTCCAGTGACACAGCTGGTAAGCAGCAGAGCCAGGATTGAAACCCAGGCAGTATGATTCCACCACCTACACATTTAGCCATTCCATCCCATTGAGAATGAAAACGTCAAAAAATACAAGGCCAGTAAGTGTTAGGAAGGCAAGAAATTTCTACACCAAAGGTGAGTATGTTATTTGGAAAGATTTGGATGGAAATGAGTAAAGTATGTTTCTTTTTGAAAGTCTGTTAGTGGCTGGGCGTGGTGGCTCAAGCCTGTAATCCCAGCACTTTGGGAGGCTGAGACGGGCGGATCACGAGGTCAGGAGATCGAGACCATCCTGGTTAACACGGTGAAACCCCATCTCTACTAAAAAATACAAAAAACTAGCCCGGCGAGGTGGCGGGCGCCTGTAGTCCCAGCTACTCAGGGAGGCTGAGGCAGGAGAATGGCGTAAAACCCGGGAGACAGAGCTTGCAGTGAGCTGAGATCTGGCCACTGCACTCCAGCCTGGGCGACAGAGCGAGACTCCGTCTCAAAAAAAAAAAAAAAAAAAAAAAAAAAAAAAAAAAAAAAAAAAAAAATTCTGTTAGTAAGCTTTAAAGCTCTATATGTAAGAAGCAGATGAAAATAGCACGTGAATTTTTAGATTTGATGTTATGTAAGCTTTTTGTTTTGTTAATTAAAATTTGGTCAGGTTTTGTGTTTGTGTGTGTGTGGTGAGAATATACCAATGATATCTACCAAAATATTTTTTGAGACAGGCTCACTGTCACCCAGGCTGGAGTGCAGTGGCGTGCTCTTGGTTCACTGCAGCCTCAGTCTCCTAGGCTCAAGTGATTCTCCCACCTCAGGTCCGAAGCTGGGATTACAGGCACACATCACCACACCTTGCTAATTTTTGTATTTTTACTAGAAACGGGGTTTCACCATGTTGGCCAGGCTGGTCTCAAACTCCTGACCTCAAGTGATCCACCCGCCTCAGCCTGTGAGCCACCGTGCCCGGCCTAGAATTTTCTATATGGTATTAGGCATAAAATACTAGCTTTCTTTGCACACTCTGCCTAGACTCAGTAATTTTAATGTTGGAGAGCTATGCATCTTAATCTAAAATCTGTAGAACCCTAAGGGTCTTCTGTAAAGAATCTGTAACAAATATAAAGGTATAATCCTTTTTTTTTTTTTCTTTTTTAGACAGAGTCTTGCACTGTCACATGAGCTGGAATGCAATGGCGCGATCTCAGCTCACTGCAACCTCTGCCTCCCAGGTTCACAGGATTCTCCTGCCTCAGCCTCCCAAGTAACTGGGATTACAGGCACACACCACCACACCTGGCTTATTTTTTGTTTTTTGTTTTGTTTTGAGATGGAGTCTGTCTGTCACCCAGGCTGGAGTGCAGTGGCATGATCTCAGCTCACTGCAAGCTCCGCCTCCCGGGTTCACGCCATTCTCCTGCCTCAGCCTCCCGAGTAGCTGGGACTACAGGTGCCCGCCACCATGCCCAGCTAATTTTTTTGTATTTTTAGTAGAGACGGGGTTTCACTATATTAGCCAGGGTGGTCTTGATCTCCTGACCTCGTGATCTGCCCGCCGCGACCTCCCAAAGTTCTGGGATTACAGGCGTGAGCCACCGCGCCCGGCCTGTTTTTTGTATTTTTAGTAGAGATGGGGTTTCACTATGTTGGCCAGACTGGTCTTGAACTCCTGACCTGGTGATCCTGCCACCTTGGCCACCCAAAGTGCTGGGATTACAAGTGTGAGCCACTGTGCCTGGCAAAGATATAATCCTTTAAGGGATTATATTATTGATTCTGTTAAAGACAAATTATATTTATTATAATAAAGACATAATCCTTGAAAGGATTATATTATTGATCTTAAAAGATATAATTAAGAATGCTTCACCTCTCAGAGCAAGATCGTGCTTTTTTTTTAACACAGTAAGAAGGAAATTGCAAAAAAACAAGGGACACACATCAACTGAAGAGTTTCACACTCTTATTTCCTACCAAGTGGAATGCCAAGAAACATGCAGTTATTTCTTATACCAGTTCTGACAGAATTGAGATTATGAACCCCTTAATTGATTTCCCAGGGTCAGAAAGCATGGGCCAATGATGATATCCAATAACAATTCCTACCTCTTTTGGGTAACTGAGGTACAAGTTTCCCTTTCTATATAAAAGCATAAAACACAAGCAAACATGATTCCTGAAATATGAAAATATGCAGACATTATATGTTCTCACTTGATGCAGATATGAGACCTCTCTCTGGAAAAAGGCTCACAAAACTTTAGCATATCT